CCGATAAAAATCTACTGAGCCATCCAATCTTTTCTGAATCACTGTCCATCCTCCACCGGATGTTTTCTGATCACAATAAACGTCGAAAGGAGCGTAGCTGCTATCCGTGTTTATAGTGTACACTCCACTGATTCTCTCACCAGACTTGAAAAGGTCAGCGCAGTTTCGGGCCTTGACTACAAGGAAATAAACATTGAATCAACTCTACATTGAAATATTTATTAAAGTAGACGGAGGCTGCTGAAAAACAAGATGTTTGAGACTAAATCGATCGGAATCATGTTGAGAAAAAGATCAATCAAAAGATTTTGAATCGCTTTTTTTCTTTTAAACAAGAAGGTGTTCATTATGACAAAACGCAAACAAAGCTGACGACGGGTTGGTCTTTCTAAAAATGCTTTATTAATGTTTTCGGGCATAAAACCTTGATGTGTTTTACCTGTTTTGTTTTCTTTTTCTGTCTTCATTTCACGTAGAAGGTCTTGTACGTCAGAAAGCTGCGTTTGAATTCTTTGAAGAATGGTCGTCATCTCCTTGTTAGTCCCTGCGTAATAGTTTCCATTTATCACTGTGCTGCATTTGTTTTCTTGTGGGGTTCCTTTCGTCGCTTGACCGCGGTTACTTTGTGCCGATGTGTTGCGACTTGCCAAAAGCACTGTGAAAAACAAGAAACTCCAGCAAAATGTTTTAACAACAGAAGTCGCCATGTCGTTTTAACCGTGTGTGAATTAGGGTTTTTGATGTTTTAATTTATAGCTGATAAGCACCAAGTAGGTTAGAATAGTGACTTGGAGCAGGATGGTTTTTCTTGTTTTTTGCTTTTGCTTTTTTTTTTATTGTTTTAGCTATGACCACAATATCAATTCTGGAGCAAGATGGTTTTTCTTGTTTTTGGTTTATTGTTTTAGCTGTGACCACAGTATCAATTCTCTTCTTTACAGCCTCGCGGGTCAAAGAACCCTTTGTTGTCAATATGTTGCGACACATGATTGTATTTTCCAGACGCAACAGACACAAAACTCCCAAACGGACTTACAAAATTGTCACGTTCTCAGATTTGACTGCTTTTAAAGATGTTGCGCGCCTTTTACGATAAAATAACGAAAATAGGTATAAAATAATGCATAAATGATAAACTTTGAGATAGTACCCATATAAACTAACCCCATCGCTCTACAACCATGAATACTCTTAAATCA